TGTGTGTGTGTGTGTGTGTGTGTGTGTGTGTGTGTGTGTGTGTGTGTGTGTTTACTCATTTACCTGATTTGTTTTATGAATAATTAATGACGTGAATACAGCGCTTTTTCAGTGAATTACATCCAAACCAATAAATGAACGGTGTTAATCCGGGACAGCACTAAGCTCGGAATTGCTTGAGTCTGGTCACAGGGAGATCAAGCAGGGCTCTCAAAAAATAGGCTCCATGTAACGTCATACCCAGTTTCCACTAAAAAAAGTTTCTTCAAAAACCTAATTTGATGTTGTTTATTACAACTGAACGCGGCCATAGGCTCAATTTCTTCAAGAGGTGCAAAAGTTACCCTTTTAGCACAATTTAATCAAATCCTCCAAAATTCAAACGCGTTTTTTTGTTGTTTGTTTAAAAAAAAAGTTTTTGGAAAAGTTTATGGCGCTTGCAACACATTAAAAAGCCATGTATAAGTGCCGAAAATTAGAGGTGTTACAAGAGAGTAACAAACACAAAAAGGAGGAGGAGAGATCAGGACGATAATAATATAATAAATTTGATAGAAAAGGGAGGAAATCAGACCAGAGCACTCGCCAACCACCCGCTCAAACATGTTTGACTTTCTACGTCACGATTGGCGGGTGTATCTGGCGACAATCTGTAGTCAACAGCCAATCAGAAGGCTACAAAATGGAACAGGGGTCAGATCCTTTGTTTCTTCGAGGAATGCGATAGGCACATAAAAAATGATTGTGGTTGGCGGGTGCTCTGATTTTATTTGCTCCTTAAATTCTTTCCTATCAAGCATCTATCGTTCTTATCTTTCCTCCTTTTTGTGTTTGTTACTCTAAACGTCGTCACCTATGTGGCCTAATTGTGTTGCAAGCGCCGTAAAACGCGTAATAAAACTATAAGGCCTATTTGAACTGTCTGGTCAAAGTTAAGGTAGAAAAACAGAGGTCTGTTTGATACAGTGTGTGCTGACCAAAAACATATCCCAACCAACCCTGGTGATGCGTAGGTTCATTTGACGAGAGGGCATTAATTATCATTATACCCAGGTAAATTTTTAAAATACTATTCCGATTAAGAAAACAAGTCTTTGTAATTTTACACATTAAAAAAAAAAATTTTTGAGTTTACCAGCAGACAATGTTCAACATCACATAATGTGAACTCCTTAAAAATATAAATAGGTGTAGGCCTACTATTAATTCTAACTCAAACAGTTTTGCTTGTACATTCATAGTACATACATAATTGTAGGCCATTTCTATAGTATAATATCCAGTTATTAAGAAGTATTGAGGAAGTTCGTGAAGTGACTGCACAATATTTTACCTTCTGTTTTTACACTCGTGCACTCAGGCGTTACATGTACTGGCATAATCTATGGTTGCACACGAAAGATATGAATGCGATTTCCGAATGAGGAAGTTATTTTATCGAATACGGTCCTGCTCTAACGGTCACTTGTCAAAGACAATCACATAATTGCGAACGATCACTTCCCACCCCCACGCCCTCCACTACTCCCCTTTAGTTTCAACATTATGTTATAATAACACTGTTTAAGTCGTCTACCTGTTTAAGACAACCGCTTTTCTCCTCGACAATGGATCTTGGCCATCTGAGACCATTTAGAGTGGGTGGTTGGCGGGTGCTCTGGCGTGGTTTGCTTCTTCAGACAACAGTCCATTGTAATGGAAAAAGTGGTAATCTTAGATAGATGGACGTCCTTGACAGTGTCGTCATTATATTAATAAATACGTTAGTAAAAATGCAGGCAACAGGCGAGAAAATGTGAAGTGATTGTTTTAACAGGTGATCGATTGTCTTGGACAGATGGTCGTTAGAGTAGGTTTGGCGGTAATAAATAATAAACAAACCACTGATCTGACTCCACAGATATGTTGAAGAGTGTCCCTGGCTCTCATTACGGTAAAGATCTGGACTTTTTACCCAAATATAGAACAGCTCGCTCTACGAGAATACGGTCGCCATCAAGACGGACAGGGTCAAGATCAAGAGGAGGGTCGAGAGAGAGGTCAAGAGATAGGTCAAGGGAAAGGTCAAGAGATCAAAGGTCAAGAGAAAGGTCAAGAGAAAGGTCAAGGGAAAGGTCACAGGATAGGTCAAGGGAAAGGTCAAGGGAAAGGTCAAGGGAAAGGTCAAGGGAAAGGTCAAGGGAAAGGTCAAGGGAAATGGCTAGAGGATCAAGAGGAAGATCAGGATCAAATGGAAGGTCAGAACCAAGAGAAAGATCCGGATCAAGAGAAAGGTCCCCTCTGAGCAGTGTGTTGGCCAATGCCGGTGCTCCTCGTGAAAGCAGAAGTGGGAGCCGCCTAACTTACCAATACGAAAAGTGAGTGGCATCAGCTTCCAGGAAAAGTAACCTGCTTTTTTTTAAAATATGGGGTTGTTTTTTTAGGCCGGTGCCAGCCGCCCGATCTGGGGTGGCTAACGCTTTGCTACTCGAACGAATTCGGTCGACTAGCCGGACGCTACTGGACCGTGGGGATTTTTGCGACCTCGAGTGGCTAGCATTTTTCTGCCCACCCGGAGCCGATCACCTAGATCTAGTACTGGGTAGTGTAAACGCGACCTCCCGACATTCTGACCGACATATGAAGCTATAGAGATCACCTAGCACACTTCTATGATTGGCCCAAATATAGATCTAGATATTGTATTTCCGCCATCTATTTTTTTCTGTCCTCACAGGAATTCGCGCCCACAACCCGCAACTTGTGCGCGCAACTTTTGCCGTCAGGGCAACTTTTGCTAATATTTCTTGCATTTCTTGCAATTTTTGCTATTTTCAAATGCAACTTTCTCCGGGGCTTCCCTCGCGAGTTGACTAGATCTATCACCCTTTATTATTATTCGTCGGAATGCCGGAGACAAAGTGACTAGAAACAGAAATGCAGTGTTATGATGCTTTACGATGTTATCTAAGATTCTCTACTAGGCCAACCAAGATGTTTCAATTATTATTGCCCTATCTCGCGTCCGATCGATACTTGGGCGCGACCTTGTCTTTGCGCATGACGGCCCGTGACACGAGTGTATACAAACGTTCCAGCGCTGAGTTGAAAGTGAACAATTTTGTCTGCAGGCAGAGAGAAAGAGAGAGAGAGAGAGAGAGAGAGAGAGAGAGAGAGAGAGAGAGAGAGAGAGAGAGAGAGAGA